GAGGATAACACAGAGTGCTAGTGAGTGGTCTGAGGATAACACAGAGTGCTAGTGAGTGGTCTGAGGATAAGACAGAGTGCTAGTGAGTGGTCTATGGATAACACAGAGTGCTAGTGAGTGGTCTGAGGATAACACAGAGTGCTAGTGAGTGATCTGAGGATAACACAGAGTGCTAGTGAGTGGTCTGAGGACAACACAGAGTGCTAGTGAGTGGTCTGAGAATAACACAGAGTGCTAGTGAGTGGTCTGAGGACAACACAGAGTGCTAGTGAGTGGTCTGAGGATAACACAGAGTGCTAGTGAGTGGTCTGAGGATAACACAGAGTGCTAGTGAGTGGTCTGAGAATAACACAGAGTGCTAGTGAGTGGTCTGAGGATAACACAGAGTGCTAGTGAGTGGTCTGAGGATAAGACAGAGTGCTAGTGAGTGGTCTATGGATAACACAGAGTGCTAGTGAGTGGTCTGAGGACAACACAGAGTGCTAGTGAGTGGTCTGAGGATAACACAGAGTGCTAGTGAGTGGTCTGAGGATAACACAGAGTGCTAGTGAGTGGTCTGAGGATAACACAGAGTGCTAGTGAGTGGTCTGAGGATAACACAGAGTGCTAGTGAGTGGTCTATGGATAACACAGAGTGCTAGTGAGTGGTCTGAGGATAACTCGACGAAAAGGAGAACTTCAGTTATTATAAATATTATTAACAATAAATTGCTATTGATTCTTGTAATATTGCAACAACCATCATTGTTCTTGTTGATATTTTTACCATTACTATTATTGCAATTAAAATAATAATATTGATAAAGGTTAAGTTACTAAAAACAATAAAAAAATAATAAAGTTGATAAATTATGCAAAAGAAGAATCCGGAAGGAAAATGCAAAATATAAATTTGGTGTGTCTATATCTGGTATTTTTAATATTATTAGGAGAGAAATAAATAATAATACTGAATGGTATAGGAATGCAGTTAGAAGGCTTAGTTACAAGTACTTGTGGCAGCTTGGTAGACACACACATGATGATCAAACCAAATGTACAGTATGTGGTCAGCCGTCTGGTCACTGTCTTGATCACTATGTGTTTAATTGTCTACTTATTGAGGAAGATAGGGTTAGACTGTATAGTAACTTATCTTATTAATGAAAATAAGATACCAGACATTAAGCGAATTTCCTAAATTTGTTTGCAATAGATACGTGAACCGTAGATATAAATTCAGATGTACTCCTGTAAACCCTCATGAGGTCTAGTTCGTATGCCTTTTGTGTATCCATGTACTCGTGCGCTGCCCTCCACAGATGGAAATGGGGTGCACAGTAAACTAGCCACTTTGGCAGCAAAACCCACCTCTTCGCTTGTTGTGTATGTATCAAATTACTACTGCCACCTTTTTTTTTTGTCGAATACTGGGATAAAATTCCTGGATGTGTTAAGTATCCCTAGTCTGAATTATGTACCTGCGATTTGGATTAGTTATGTGCCTATAATTTGAATATGTTGTCTCTTTTATGGATGCATTATGCATTTCTAATCACGATATGTTATATCTTTCATCTATATTCGCCGTCTCTAATCTGCATTCGTTATGTGCCTGTGATAGCAGTCTGTTTACGTTTGTTTAATCTTTCGACAACTCTTCCCGAGGCCCAGACTTGTGGAACTCCGTATTCATCAAGAACTGCAAGAAACCTCTTTCTTCAGGCTCAAAGAGCCTGGAAACGGGGACCATCCTACGGTAGCGAAAAACAATATATATAGCCCCCCTTCATAAAAGTATCAGCAAAGCAATAGCAAAGAATTATAGACCGATAACTCTAACGTCCCACATAATAATCTTCGAAAGAGTTTTTTATATGAAGTATGATTGCCAACCACTTGGATTCCCAACAACTGCATAACCAAGGGCAACTTGGGTTTAGAGTAGGTTGCTCTTGCCTCTCGCAACTACTGGACCACTATGACATGGTCCTGGGCGCACTAGAAGACAAGCAGAATGCAAAAGTAGTATGCACAGACTACCAAAGCCTTCATCAAGTGCAATCATGGTATAATAGTGAACAATATGAGTGTTAAAGGAATAACTGGAAAAATGGAATGATGGAGCTTTAATTTTTTAACCAACAGAACACAAAAAGTAATATAGTCGGAGGCTATTACAGTGAAAAGCTGTCTCACAAGGTACAGTGCACGCACCCGTCGTTTTTATCCTCTTATCAGACAGACAGAGATGTAAACACTAGCAGATGTAAACAATAGCAAATGTAAACAATAGCAGATGTAAACAATAGCAGATATAAAAAATAACAGATGTAAATAATTACAGACGATACTAGAATCAGCATGAGAGTGTCATCCATTGATGACTCGGAAAATCTCGAAGCGGATATAAACCAAGTATTCAAATGAGCCATGGAAGATAATATGATGTTCAATGAGAACAATTTTTAGTTACTTTCTTATGGAAAACTTGAGGGAATAATAGCCAGAATGGAGTATGCAACAAATTATAATCACACGATAGAGCGAAAAACTAATGTGAAGGACTTGGGAGTGATAATGTTAGATCTCACCTTTAAGGGTCACAATAGTGTTATTCTCACAACTATTAGGAAAATGAAAAGATGGATAATGAGAACTTTCCAAATAAGGGATGCCATGCCATTGATGATCCTCTTTAAGTCACTTGTTCTCTCTAGGGTGGAATATTTCTGTACACTAATATCGTAGGGGTTCTTAAATGGAGATATCGAGGGTTGAAGGTAGACACACTTGTTGGATGGTAACGATATATTGTCAGACTGGGATGATGGGAAATGGAGCCCAGCCTTGCCGTGTACTAGTCTGGATGGTCTGCCGCCGAGTGAGTGAGAGGGAGGCAGAGGTACGAGCCTACACATGCGCATCCCGTGACGTCACACAAAGTCACAGGCCTACAAGGGATCTCCTATCTAAAGCACATGGATGATACTAATATGCTATGCTATATAACACAGGGATCAGCAACTATGCTGACAGCTCGGTCATGTTACGTATGTCGTCTCGACATACACTACTATCTACAGGCTGAACAGGCAGGCAGTTCTGGGCTGATTCTATACAATAACAAATTCATATATAACTTAGAACTAATGGATGGTATCATAATGGATTTTACGTAATGGGTGTTAACGTAATCATTACAAACTATAAGAACAAATCATTATACAATATGGATGGAATTGATCGATCGATCTGTATTCAAGCACTCTACGGATTCTGAGGAAGAATAAATATATATATATACAAGGTGAAATTAACAGCAAAGGCATCTGGTGCACTCAGACTATTACTGTCAATTCTCAGAATACGGAGGGAACGTGAACATGAAAATTTCTGACAACTGATCAGCTAATGACAAATCACACAGTTGATAATTTCATTCATCTCGGACATCTAATTATACAGGCTGTTTACACTTAAACCCAATTCTGCGAGGGTAAGGTTTACGTATGCAGAATGGTTATCATCTCTGGGAGGATCGAATTCCTCTGCAATGGCTAACACATGCCTTGACTGAGGACAGTCTGAACGAGTATCTACAAAAGATACAGCTACAATCACTAGTGACTGTGGAATTACTAATTCTTCTGCTAGGAGTACTCAACTCGACTATTCGATACAGTAATTTCCTATCTAAAGCACATGGATGATACTAATATGCTATGCTATATAACACAGGGATCAGCAACTATGCTGACACTAACAGCCCCATTCAAAGCAGGTGACACTGTAGATATAGAGAATTTACAGAGAACGTTCACTGTACTAATAATTCAGCAAAACACCATAATTACTGAAAACGTTTGAAGTCCCTAGACCTGTATTCCCTGGAATGCAGGCAGGAAAGATACATCATAATCTACACATGGAACGTCATAAAGGGATTGTTTTCAAATCTGCACACTTCCTACGAAAACAAAAGACTAGGCAAACGGTGTATCATACCCCCGTGCAAAGTAAGGGCTCCATGAGTACACAAAGAGAAAACACAATAAGTGACCGGGGCCCAAGACTGTTCAACAGCCTCCCATCATACATAAGGGAAATTACCAATAGACTCCTGGCTGTCTTCAAGAGAGAGCTGGACAGATACCTAAGTCAGTACCCGATGAGCCGGGCTGTGGTTTATACGTTGGATTGCGTTCTGCCGGCAGTAACAGCCAGGTTGTTCAGGCCCTGATCCACCAGGATCAGGGTGGCGGGGGCGTTGAGCCCCTGAACAACCTCCATGTAGACTGCCAACAAGATAGACACACGGGGGCATAAAACAAGCTATGAAATAAAATTCCTTAGAATAAAGCAATTATGTTAAACATATCATTAATCTAGTCATTCTACTTTATTTTTATCCTTTGGCAACAAATTCCTCATGGTCTCTGTGTCTTAATAATATCCTAATCATCTTTTTTAGGGACCAATTCCACATAGTTCCAAAGTCTAAGCTCCCTCTCACTCTCAATTTTTTTTAGGAACAAGTTCCTCATAGTTCCTTACTTTATCATCAGTGACCCTATTCTCTCTTCAAGGGATTATTACTCATATTCCCTTAATCTGCCTCAGCCCCGTCACAACATTTTCTTCAGGTGGGCCAATGTTTTCATCTCATCCCTGACAAGTAGATCTTCTACACCGGTCTATTTCTTTCTCTCACAGAGAATATCATCCTTACATTCATAGCGTAACGCTAAAATTCGAAGGATCATACAGTGCCTGAGGGAAAGGAAAGGAATCAGGTTCAATGCAAGAGGGGGGATAGGTCCAATTCCTTGGATCAAGAGCCCCTCACCTGCATTGAAGCACCTCCCTTGACTGGTCTTTCCAAGAGAGGCACAATTCAGAGGATTTCTCATCTGGGTGTCTGTTACAGAAAAATAAACAGTTACTGTCAGAGATGACGAAATCATCACATTTTACTGAAATTCCTGTATAAATTTTTATTTTGGCTTCTTCAGGAGAAGTGTTGGCTTGGAGGTGGTAGCCCGAGGAACTCCTGGCTTCACTGATGGTGTCGCTGGCAGTTTTCCGTCATTGGGGTCTGTTGTCAGGCCTCTTCCAGTGGCATTTCCTGTTGCTGCTGGCCTCAGCATCCTCACTGGCCGCCTCACAACTTTCTACAAGTGGTGCTCTCACAGTCAGAGATCATCAAGATCCTGCCGCGCCTAGCTCTCAGCCATTCCAGCAACCGCAACGAAAAGTTACACACGTGGTGGCATCTACCGCACTAACATACGCAGCAACACCGCCAAGGACACGGCAATTGCCGCAACACATGCAACCAACAGAAACACCACCATACGCAGCAGCAGCATCACAACCACGACTTTTGTCACTATACACACAACTATCATCCAAATCATACACGCTAGCAGCATCAGTACCAACACTCCTTAAAAAAGTAACTAAAGGAGGTAGTGTATTGGATGAAATAAGCGCAGGGCCAGTAAGAGAGTCTTTACTCCCTTCGACAGAAAAGGACTTACACGGAAAGAGAACCTCGCCAGCAGAAGTGCCACAGATCAGCAGCGGGTGGTTCTTGAGTGATACGGAAGAAAGCTCATTGTCTCGCCTACTGCTGCAGGTGGTGAGGCAGGAAATGATGGGATGCGCTCTGGTGGTAGCTTATGACTCTCCGTATCACCATACCAGGGCCCTGCAGAACCTCCTGCAGCTCTCACAACCCAAACAGGTGAAGCACCACCATTATTCGTAATCTATCAAAAAACAAAAGCACTAAGTAATTAGTATTCAAACAAATATGACTAAGCATCTTTGGACTATTTGTTTTGACATCATCGACTGTGAAGAGCCCGGCAGTTTTTGGCCAGACTGTTAGGTCTTTGGAAAAACAGTCTCATATTATATTTTAATTTTGTAAACTAAATAAAGAAGTTTTAGCTTAGTATTCCAACAATAGCAAAGTTTTGCTTCATTGAGTTTTCTGTAAAGTGTGTTTGAGTAAGGTGTATTCGACTGTTATTATTCTTGGTTGCCTTAGTCACCTTTAGTCGAGAAGAAAAAAACGATAGACAGACAAACTGGCCAACTTGTAGAGAAGGAAACGTAAGGAAAAGTGGTGCTCTGGTGGCCTGGTGGTTAACGCTCTCGCTTCACACGGCGAGGGCCTGGGTTCGATTCCCAGCCAGAGTAGAAACATTGGAGGTGTTTCTTTCCACCTGTTGTCTATGTTCCCCATCAGTAAAATGGGTACCTGGGTGTTAGTCGACTGGTGTGGGTCGCATCCTGGGACACTGACCTAAGGAGGCCTGGTCACAGACCGGGCCGCGGGGGCGTTGACCCCCGGAACTCTCTCCAGGTAATCTCCAGGTAATCACACACACAACCAACCACAGATATTTGGTTAACATCATAATATTTCTTCCGAATCATATTTTAACATTTTAAGCCACTATAGTGTTCACTCTGGGGAAGGCTTTATGACTCACTGAAGAAGTAAACTTACTAAACCAAGAGTCATACAGCAACGGGGAAATGGGATGGGTCAAGGGTAATCAAGTTTGAGCTGTTTTCCAAAGAATTATTAGCGGCATAAAAAAACGTTTTACATTTTGCTACAGGTGAAGAATGTCAAATATGATGTTTACATATCAAACACAACACTGAAGATTGCTATACAGATATATTATTATTAAATAAAAAAAGAATAAACTTTCATGTGTTATAAAAAAAGAGACTTGATAAATGAATTATTTATGTCTTCTTCCTCTCTTCTTGCGTCATCGTGTCTTGGGAGGCAGCAGGTGGTGGAGGTGGGAGGTGTGACTGACCTGGCTGGTATGTTGTGGAGGTCTGTACTGTGTCGCGGATACCTCCTGCTGCTCACGGACCCCGCCCCTCTCCTAGTCTTCGCCAACACTGACGAAGACATTTGGGACTTTGATGGCAGGTAATGGCGAGGCAGGTGAGTGTGTACAGCACACTAACTGTACTGTGTAGAAGTATGTTTGGAAAGTATTCTAATGGTGGGTTATTGTGCTGGTCCTGGGTATTACATCTAACACAAGGGGAGAAATAGCTAGTTTATATTTTATTTTTCAAAGAGTGGACTGGGAAGCCAGCTGAAAGCCTCGGTCATATAATCAAAAGCTCCATTGGCTGGTCATCATATGACTAAGACCCGCGTCAGGAAACCATTGTATTGTTTACTGACGAATTTTAACTAACTTAACCTTCCAGGGGAAAAAAAGACGTCAGTACGGCAACTTAACACAGGAGAGTTACTAATATGATATAACCCAACAGAAAATTATTATTCCTTCTTCTATTAAGGTCCTCTTCATAAGTTGTGGACAATAGGTGGTTAACACCCACATGCCAATTTCTGTGCTCTGAGAACATGCCCATAAGTTTTGTGCCAACAAGGAATCGAACCCAAGTGTCAAGATCGTTTATGTTTTAACGAAACTAAATACACCTGTATTGTGATACTACATGAACTTGAATGATTCGCCGGTACGTGTCCCCGTCCGGGTCTTTTCCAGACGGTGACCCGCCGAAAATGATGCTACTTGATTCTTTGGAAGATTTATATACGTAGATGGAACACCAGCTTATTGTGATTCACAGTCATACTTCATCACACAGGATACGTTCTTACACAGAATAATGAAATGTGTCAGCCTGAGCTGGGAGGCTTTAGTGGGGCGATGAGGATATGAGCGACTATTCGACTGTGGGTCCAGTGGTATGATAGCTTTTCCTCGTGTCCTTCTGGATGCGGAAGGAATGACCGCCTCTCGGGTGACCTACCTCACACAGACAAAAGACAATTATGAAGGTTATGTTATCACATAGATAAAATCAGATACTTAAAGCACATTGTTGCAAACCACCATCCTGGGATTTGTGTGTGTTTGCTTGTGTGTTTATATGTGTTTGTAAGGGGAGGGGGAATGTGTTGCGAGGGATGGCAAGCTCAAGCGCATGCAGTGAAATGCATAATGATATTTTTTTTATTGGGAAACGGGGGGAAATAGACAACAGAGAGAGAGAGAGAGAGAATAGAGAACGTGGGTTCATGGCGGTAAGGACGACCAAAACAAAACAATAACACCATCTTCCTCACAGGTTATGTCGGTAAGGACGGCTAAACAACAATAACACCATCTTCTCCGTAGGTTCGTGGTGGTGGGAACAACCAAGGAACAACTACAAAATTTGGCTCTGTCTAAGAAAGGCGTCAAGACGGAGCATCTGGTGGGTCTAGTCAAGGTAAACTGCGTCTCTCTTCTTCTAGTCCGAGATTGAGCTTTAAAACGCTACAATAATGCTTATAAACTGTGTCCACATTATCTTGCCTCAAATTCTGAGAGGGTTGGGAACTAAATCAAGAGGGAATTGGTTGGGAAAATTCAATAGGGAATGGGTTGGGAAAAATTAAGAGGGAAATGGGTTGGGAAAAATCAAGAGGGAATAGGTTAGGAACTAAATCAAGAGAGAATAGTTTGGGAAAAATCAAGAGGGAATGGGTTGGGAAAAATCAAGAGGGAATGGGTTAGAAACTAAATCAAGAGGGAATGGGTTTGGAACTAAATCAAGAGGGAATGGGTTGGTGAAAATCAAGAGGGGAATGGGTTGAGAAAATCAAGAGGGAATGGGTTATGAAAAATCAAGAGGGAATGGGTTGGGCATTAAATCAAGAAGAGAATGGGTTGGGAAAAATCAAGAGGGAATGGGCTGGGAACTAAATCAAAAGGACACCAGCACATGTTACGTAGCCAGGCATCAGATACCTTCTTCTGTACGTATGTAAATACGTCATTATTAATGCAATGTTGACCATGAATATTAACAACTTAAGCCTAAGTGGCCATTTGCTTTTTATAGCACCTCTGGAAATACAGTTTACTGTAGCAAAATAACTGGAGAATATATGGAAATATAAATATAAATGCTTGTGAATACAAATACCTGTTTACTTGTATTTCTATAACATTCATCATACACCTAAATGGGGCGAATTACATCACTGTGGAGGCACAGTTTTAGCCAGCGGACTGGCTACTAAACGAGTGACCACGTGAAGACACCTTAACTATGTTTACAGAGATATCTCGAAGTCCCGAGCTTCAGTGGCTAAAGCCTTGTGGTAAAAGTGGCCAAAACGGTTTCTTGTTCTTGACAATTTATATCACAGAACTTTCAGCGATAGAACCTGAGAGATGGTAATTCACACGCAATAGTAACACCAGCCCTGCTGGAAGGAAGTTCTTGAAGCTATTGTAGCTTCTGAATCAGCAGCGGGATACTTGAAGATATCTTCATGGCTCCATCAGTCTTTCAGCTCAAGCAAACTGACTTATATAAGTCATATATGTACTCCATTTTGCGTGATGATATATAACAGGGAATGACTTTTATTTCTGCAGTTATTACTTCAATAATTAATACATATAATGGGAACAAGTCAACCATGCCCTAAATGAAACAAGTTGGGAAGATATCTTAAACAACACGGATCCGAACTTTTGCCTAGAAAAAATAACTCTGTGGTTCTTGAGATCTGCTCAAGGCACATTCCATTAAGAAAAAGAAAGATGTAAACTAGAAAGATAGAGACGCTCCCTGTACAGAGGAAGGCGAAAAATCACAGAGCTGCTGAGAGGGGCCAATGCATATGAAATACGAAGAGAGGCACTGGTCTATGAAATAGCAAATATCGAACTTAATCTGAAGGAATCTTACAAGATAAAAGAATCGTAGGAAGAACTAAAGCCATAAAGGAAATTGAAAAAAAAATACTTCTTCTCTTATGCCATATCTAAGAGGAAAACAACATCCAGTATTGGGGCCCTATTAGGTGAGATGGGACATACAAAGATGGTAGCCAAGAAATGAATGAGATACTAAAGTCCCAGTACGAGTCAGTGATCAGTGAGCCGTTACCCAGATTAAGGGTCGACAATCCAAATGAATTGTTTATAAACGAGACCCAAAATTTGGTTATCTCAAAAATCTCGGATATTATCCAGACGCCACAAGACTTTGAAAAGGCAATAAATGACATGCCTATGCATTCTGCCCCTGACCCACACTCGTGGAACTCCGCGTTCATCAAGAACTGCAAGAAGCTCCTGTCACGTGCCTTCAGCATTCTATGGAGAGGGAGCATGGACATAGGGGTCATCCCACACACACTAAAATCAACAGACATAGCCCCACTCCACAAAGGTAGCAGTAAAGAAATTGCAAAGAACTCCAGACGGATAGCATTAACATCCCATATCATAAAAGGCTTGGAAAGGTTCTGAGAAGCAAGATCGCCAACCACCTAGATACCCATCAATTACACAACACAGGGCAACACGGGCTTAGAGCAGGTCGCTCCTGCCTGTCCCAGCTACTGGACCACTATGACAAGGTACTGGATGCTATAGAGGATAAACAAAATGCAGATGTATACACAGACTTTGCGAAAGCCTTCGACAAGTGTGACCATGGTGTAATAGCGCACAAAATGCGTGATAAAGGAATAACAGGAAAAGTTGGTATATGGATCTATAACTTCCTGAAAAATAGAACACAAAGAGTAGTAGTAAAGAGAATGAAGTCCGAGGCAGCTACAATGAAAATCTTTGTTCCACAAGGCACAGTACTTGCTCCCATCCTATTCCTCATCCTTATATCTGACACAGACAGAGATGTAAGCCATAGCTCCGTGTCTTCCTTTGCGAATGACACCCGAATTGCCATGACAGTGTCCTCCATCGAAGACACCGCAAGACTCCAAGAGGACATAAACCAAATCTTCAAATGGGCCAATCAAAACAAAATGAAGTTCAGTGAAGAGAAATTTCAAATACTCAGATATAGAAAACTTGAGGAAATTAGAAATATATCAGTGTATGCAACAAATTCTAACTATACAATAGAGCGAAAAAGTAATGTGAAGGACCTGGGAGTGATAATGTCAGAGGACCTCGCCTTCAACAAACACAACAATATATCTACCGCATCTGCTAGGAAAATGATAGGATGAATAATGAGACCCTTCAAAACTAGGGACGCCAAGCCCATGACGATTCTCTTCAAATCACTTATTCTCTCTAGGCTTGAATACTGCTGTACACTAACTGCCTCCTTCAAGGCAGGCAAATTTGCTGACCTGAAGAGTGTACAAAGAACTTTCACAGCACACATAAGTACAATAAGGAACCTAAATTACTGGGAATGGTTGAAGTACCTTGATTTCTATTCCTTGGAACGCAGGCGAGAGAGATACATGATAATATACACGTGGAAAATCCTAGAAGGATTAGTACTAAACTTGCACATGAAAATCACTCCCTATGAAAGCAAAAGACCCAGCAAGAGATGCAGCATTCCCCCAATGAAAAGCAGGGGCGCCACAAGTACACTGAGAGACAACACAATAAGTGTTCGGGGCCCAAGACTGTTTAACTGCCTCCCAGCATACATAAGGGGGATTACCAATAGGCCCCTGGCTGTCCTCAAGAAGGCACTGGACAGGCACCTAAAGTCAGTACCTGACCAACCGGGCTGTGGTTCATACGTCACTTTGGTTGCGGCCAGAAGTAGCAGCCTGGTTGATCAGACCCTGATCCACCGCGAGGCCTGGTCTCAGGTAGAGCCGCGGGGGCGTTTACCACCGAAACCCTCTCCAGGTATATTCCAGGTAAACAGTACCGAGGAGGGAAGCTGCACACTTCAGCTGTAATAAAGTATATCAGATAGGCAATAAAAAAACAGAGGTAACGACCACTTTTATGCGTAATAGTGTAGCGGTATTAACGAGGCAGGAGTCGTGTCTGAGGTCGATGTTGCATGTGTTACCTCTATAATAACCAGACTATTACCCTGTATTATATAATTTGCTTATGGAAATACTGGCATTCCTTGTAACAAATATAATTCTATTATTGACTCTGTATTCCATCCTTCCTTTCTCTGTTCCCTCTACAACCTATTTCTTTGTTCAGTATTCTGTTTACAGTCCCTCCCACTACCATTCTCTTCCAAGTACCTCCTTCCCTTTATTATAGGTGCGGTTAGGTAAGATTCGTCAGGGAACAGGGCAAGTCTTAGTCAGATGCTGACTCGCTTCTGCAGCTTTTGGTCATCTGAGTGACGCCTTCCACTGGCTTACCGCTCCACCCCTTGAAAAACTTTTTACAGGAGAGACCATATATGTGACGATGTTTGTGTGTGCTGCCAGTGAGTAAGACTTGAGTGTGTGTGTTGCCCGGCCTCCTTGTCTCTCTTCTTACATTCCTTCCTTCACAGTTTCGTATAAAATTCATCCCCCCCCATCACAGATTTTTTTTTCATTGTTTTTTCCTCTCTCAGCGTCTTGGGTTAGTGTTTCTTCCATTGTTCCCTCAATGCTTCCTTAGTGTTTCTTTAATGTTTCACAAATTGTTCCCTCGATGTTTCCTTCATTGTTACTTCAGTGGTTCACCTATTTTCCCTCAATGTTTTACCTATTCCAATATTTTCAATCTAATATTGCCTAATTAGAGTTATTTCTACTCATTCTCATACCGAGACCTACTCTACCAGCCATCACTAGAACTAGTGTTTTATTCTTTACTAGAACTAGTGTTTTATTCATCACTAGAACTAATGTTTTATTCATCACTAGAACTAGTGTTTTATTCATCACTAGAACTAGTGTTTTATTCTTTACTAGAACTAGTGTTTTATTTTTCACTAGAACTAGTGTTTTATTCATCACTAGAACTAATGTTTTATTCATCATTAGAACTAATGTTTTATTCATCACTAGAACTAATGTTTTATTCATCATTAGAACTAATGTTTTATTCATCATTAGAACTAATGTTTTATTCATCATTAGAACTAATGTTTTATTCATCACTAGAACTAGTGTTCTATTCATCACTAGAACTAACGTTTTATTCATCACTAGGACTAGTGTTTTATTCATCACTAGAACTAACGTTTTATTCATCACTAGGACTAGTGTTTTATTCATCACTAGAACTAAAGTTTTATTCATCACTAGGACTAGTGTTTTATTCATCACTAGAACTAAAGTTTTATTCATCACTAGGACTAGTGTTTTATTCATCACTATAACTAGTGTTTCACACAGTATTAAAAACTGGTGTCTCTCACATTCCACAATGTTTACTTTAAGTCTCTAAGGCAGAAGTCGTTCTCTGCAGAGAACGACTTCTGTTGTTTTATCCTTGGCTCACACACCTAGGTAATACACGATAGTCTTTAATCTAGGTAGAGGTAAATAGTTCTCAGCATATTGCCTAGATGTTGACTGCCAAGTTCTCTGCTAATTGTCTCTCGTATTTACTCCCGAGTACTAACTGTCTTAGTCTGGAGTATCGCTGTGTCTGTAAGGAGTGTTTACATGTATAGCTAACTGGTCTGCCGGAAATTACTGTATCATGTTTTACCCTAGACTAGTAAGAAAAATTTCTGTTTTACTAACAACCTGTACGAGCAGTCAACCATCCAGGTAAAAAAATTTCCCCTGATCAACTTTCTCCTTTCCGTGGTTGTATTGTCTGTATTCTTTATCCTCTCCTTTGCTCCTGCGTTTTGGTGGAAGGTATATAATAGTAATGCATAATGTGTGTGTGTTTCGTCACTACAAAACTCGTCATTGCTTCTACTGTTCCTCTTTTTCGTTGCTATCTTCATAGTCTCTCGCTTCTTATGTTATCTCCAGAGCCTTTCCATATATTTCCCCTAACTCTCCTTGCCCATCTCTCCCTTACTCTTTTTTTATACATCAGTCTCTTATATACTATCTTTCTCTCAGCAACAGTCAGGGGGTGACGGGTACTGGGTGTTGTACACAAACACCTTATACCAAGACAGTCTCCTGCGTCGTCTCACTACCTGGAGAAGCACCTCCTTCACCACCTCCACCTCGCTTTTCCCAGAGAAGCTGAGCAACCTTCAGGGCGCCCTGCTCAAGGTGACTCTGCTCCTCTCTCACTCTTCCTCACATGTCAGACAGGCTCTCATCATCTGCCCTTACTCTCTCTCTTTTACATTATTGTTATGTTTCTCTTCCTGTACTGAATAACCCACAACGATTTATTCTTTATCATAAATAATAATAATAATAATAATAATAATAATAATAATAATAATAATAATAATAATAATAATAATAATAATAATAATAATAATATTTTTGTTCTCATTATTATTATTATTATTATAATTATTATTATTATTATTATAATTATTATTATTATTATTATTATTATTATTATTATTATTATTATTATTATTATTAATCAGGTGTCGGCTTAGTACTCATAAGAACATAAGATTATGCTGCATGTGTTTGTAACTGGCCTAATATATGTTACATACAGTTTCCTAAAAGATTCCTTTTCATGTTGCTAAGGCCGTTCATAGGAAGCCATAACTCCCATCTACCACCCAAGCTGATGTTCACTTCCAGGTTCTTTCCCTTGATCAGTGTCTACAATTTGCTCCCTTGTAGACTCCCAGACTCCGAGACTCTTCTGAAGACTTCTGAATATTCCTCTTTCCCTACCACCCCATCTTTAAAATGCACAAAAAAGTGTATTTTATGCAGTATGGGATACACCGATGGTACAGAGATGGAGTATACAGTACATAAGGTTTGAGAGATACGCTACAAGTGCACATTGCTGTCTGTTTGTTAAAAATTATATTACAAAAATCTCATCCAGCTGCTCAGAGTTGGTGCGTGTACCCGGGACACAAGAGGCATTACCCCTCTGAACTGTAACACTAAGTCGCTGGAATAGAAAACTAGTCGCCCTGGGACCTTTAGTTACCCTGATGAGTCTTTTGCCTAGCTCCATAAGATACCTAGATGCACTCTTTTCACATGGTCTGAGGGGTCTCTGAGCCTATGAGAATATGATCACTTAATAATTGACTTATACACAGAGTATGTTCACCAAGATGTGAGTATCAGTACATAAACACTGCTAGCTTAATATAATCCAGTTTTGAGATATTTTTTTTTAATTTACAGATATATTATAGCCTTAATGACCCACGTGCGGTCGATAAGTTGAAGATCTTAAAAAATGTAACCAAATGTATCTGTTTGGGTGGGTGGGTCAGGTGTCGACCTTCGAGTGGGAGCCCAGTGTCTTGTATTACCGTGACAAAAACGGTACGGTGCAGTTCCCGTATGGTATCGACATCGAGGTGGTCAACGCCCTCTCCAGAGTGCTTAATTTTACGGTGGTCTTCGAGGAACCTCCACCAGGTGAGTATCATCTGACGAAAAATCAACTTTGTTAAATATACAAAGACATACATCCTAACCTGATCTGGTATCTGGCTTGGAGCGTGATCTCCAAAACATTATTGCTTTTTTTTATGTGTAACTGAAGAATAAATTTTGTGGAAATATATAAATACACACAAGCAGAAAGGGATGTATGAAATACACGATAATTCTCATTCTAGATGGTAGATAGTCCTTTTCAGCAGAGAGCCTTGCTGTGGGCTTCCAAGTCGTTTGATACCCATGTTTCCCATGTACTTCACTGTATTCAACCACGAGTGATCTAATAGAATGATTTTACATCCAAAACATCTGTGACTTGGTTGAATAAGTCGCCACCAACTACGACACACATCCAACTTCCTCCACAGCTTTCATGGCGCATCCATTCTCATACTCCATAGAGCCATATAATTTATAAGAATGAACATACCATTAGAGATTCAGTGAGTGTAGAGTGAGACAGAAGAGTTACAGTTGGCGGTTGCTGATACAACCATATCATAGAATTGCTGGTTGCAATATCGTCCTATTCGAGCCCTCATGGCTGAATAATTACAGGGCTGATCGTGCCATTCGCACGAAGAGCAACTTTTATATATATATATATATATATATATATATATATATATATATATATATATATATATATATATATATATATATATATATAATACATATATATATATATATATATATATATATATATATATATATATATATATATATATATTTATATATACATATACATATATATATATATATATATATATATATATATATATATACATATATATATATATATTATATATATATATATATATATATATATATATATATATATATATATATATATATATATATATATATATATATATATATATATATATATATTACAGTTGGCGGTTGCTGATACAACCATATCATAGAATTGCTGGTTGCAATATCGTCCTATTCGAGCCCTCATGGCTGAATAATTACAGGGCTGATCGTGCCATTCGCACGAAGAGAAACTTTTATATATATATATATATATATATATATATATATATATATATATATATATATATATATATATATATATATATATATTTTATATATACATATACATATATATATATATACATATATACATATATTATATATATATACATATATATATATATATATATATATATATATATATATATATATATATATATATATATATATATATATATATATATATACATATATATGGATATATATAATATATATATATATATTTATATATATATATATATATATATATATATATATATATATATATATATATATATATATATATATATATATATATATATATATATATATGGATACGAGGATAGTGAGGCTCAAGTTAGAGTACATAGGAAAGAGGGAAATTATTTCCCAGTAAAAGTAGGCCTTAGACAAGGATGTGTGATGTCACCGTGGTTGTTTAATATATTTATAGATGGGGTTGTAAGAGAAGTAAATGCGAGGGTCTGACAAGAGGCGTGGAGTTAAAAGATAAAGAATCACACATAAAGTGGGAGTTGTCACAGTTGCTCTTTGCTGATGACACTGTGCTCTTGGGAGATTCTGAAGAGAAGTTGCAGAGATTGGTGGATGAATTTGGTAGGGTGTGCAAAAGAAGAAATTAAAAGTGAATACAGGAAAGAGTAAGGTTATGAGGATAACAAAAATATTAGGTGATGAAAGATTGGATATCAGATTGGAGGGAGAAAGTATGGAGGAGGTGAATGCATTCAGATATTTGGGAGTGGACGTGTCAGCGGATGGGTCTATGAAGGATGAGGTGAATCATAGAATTGATGAGGGGAAAAGGGTGAGTGGTGCACTTAGGAGTCTGTGGAGACAAAGAACTTTGTCCTTGGAGGCAAAGAGGGGAATGTATGAGAGTATAGTTTTACCAACACTCTTATATGGGTGTGAAGCATGGGTGATGAATGTTGCAGCGAGGAGAAGGCTGGAGGCAGTGGAGATGTCATGTCTGAGGGCAATGTGTGGTGTGAATATAATGCAGAGAATTCGTAGTTTGGAAGTTAGGAGGAGGTGCGGGATTACCAAAACTGTTGTCCAGAGGCTGAGGAAGGGTTGTTGAGGTGGTTCGGACATGTAGAGAGAATGGAGCGAAACAGAATGACTTCAAGAGTGTATCAGTCTGTAGTGGAAGGAAGGCGGGGTAGGGGTCGGCCTAGGAAAGGTTGGAGGGAGGGGTAAAAGGAGGTTTTGTGTGCGAGGGGCTTGGACTTCCAGCAGGCGTGCGTGAGCGTGCTTGATAGGAGTGAATGGAGACGAATGGTTTTTAATACTTGACGTGCTGTTGGAGTGTGAGCAAAGTAACATTTATGAAGGGGTTCAGGGAAACCGGCAGGCCGGACTTGAGTCCTGGAGATGGAAGTACAGTGCCTGCACTCTGAAGGAAGGGTGTTAATGTTGCAGTTTAAAAACTGTAGTGTAAAGCACCCTTCTGGCAAGACAGTGATGGAGTGAATGATGGTGAAAGTTTTTCTTTTTCGGGCCACCCTGCCTTGGTGGGAATCGGCCAGTGTGATAATAAAATAACATATATATATATATTATATATATATATATATATATATATATATATATATATATATATATATATATATATATATGTATATGTATGTATGCATATATATATATATATATATATATATATATATATATATATATATATATATATATATGTATTATATATATATATATGCATGTGTGTGTGTGTGTGTGTGTATGTAATAGGTCGACCGTTGCCCACAGAAGCAGGGTTTACCTGGAGTTTACCTGGAGAGAGTTCCGGGGGTCAACGCCCCCGCGGCCCGGTCTGTGACCAGGCCTCCTGGTGGATCAGAGCCTGATCAACCAGGCTGTTGCTGCTGGCTGCACGCAAACCAACGTACGAGCCACAGCCCGGCTGATCAGGAACTGACTTTAGGTGCTTGTCCAGTGCCAGCTTGAAGACTGCTGGGAGGCAGTTGAACAGTCTCGGGCCCCTGACACTTATTGTATGGTCTCTTAACGTGCTAGTGACACCCCTGCTTTTCATTGGGGGGATGGTGCATCGTCTGCCAAGTCTTTTGCTTTCGTAGTGAGTGATTTTCGTGTGCAAGTTCGGTACTAGTCCCTCTAGGATTTTCCAGGTGTATATAATCATGTATCTCTCCCTCCTGCGTTCCAGGGAATACAGGTTTAGGAACCTCAAGCGCTCCCAGTAATTGAGGTGTTTTATCTCCGTTATGCGCGCCGTGAAAGTTCTCTGTACATTTTCTAAGTCGGCAATTTCACCTGCCTTGAAAGGTGCTGTTAGTGTGCAGCAATATTCCAGCCTAGATAGAACAAGTGACCTGAAGAGTGTCATCATGGCTTGGCCTCCCTAGTTTTGAAGGTTCTCATTATCCATCCTGTCATTTTTCTAGCAGATGCGATTGATACAATGTTATGGTCATTGAAGGTGAGATCCTCCGACATAATCACTCCCAGGTCTTTGACGTTGGTGTTTCGCTCTATTTTGTGGCCAGAATTTGTTTTGTACTCTGATGAAGATTTAATTTCCTCATGTTTACCATATCTGAGTAATTGAAATTTCTCATCGTTGAACTTCATATTGTTTTCTGCAGCCCACTGAAAGATTTGGTTGATGTCCGCCTGGAGCCTTGCAGTGTCTGCAATGGAAGACACTGTCATGCAGATTCGGGTGTCATCTGCAAAGGAAGACACGGTGCTGTGGCTGACATTTTTGTCTATGTCGGATATGAGGATGAGGAACAAGATGGGAGCGAGTACTGTGCCTTGTGGAACAGAGCTTTTCACCGTAGCTTCCTCGGACTTTACTCTGTTGACGACTACTCTCTGTGTTCTGTTAGTGAGGAAATTGTAGATCCATCGACCGACTTTTCCTGTTATTCCTTTAGCACGCATTTTGTGTGCTATTACGCCATGGTCACACTTGTCGAAGGCTTTTGCAAAGTCTGTATATATTACATCTGCATTCTTTTTGTCTTCTAGTGCATTTAGGACCTTGTCGTAGTGATCCAATAGTTGAGACAGACTGGAGCGACTTGTTCTAAACCCATGTTGCCCTGGGTTGTGTAACTGATGGGTTTCTAGATGGGTGGTGATCTTGCTTCTTAGGACCCTTTCAAAGATTTTTATGATATGGGATGTTAGTGCTATTGGTCTGTAGTTCTTTGCTGTTGCTTTACTGCCCCCTTTGTGGAGTGGGGCTACGTCTGTTGTTTTTAGTAACTGTGGGACGACCCCCGTGTCCATGCTCCCTCTCCCATAGATGGAAAAGGCTCGTGATAGGGGCTTCTTGCAGTTCTTGATGAACACAGAGTTCCATGAGTCTGGCCCTGGGGCAGAGTGCATGGGCATGTCATTTATCGCCTGTTCGAAGTCATTTGGCGTCAGGATAACATCGGATAGGCTTGTGTTAATCAAATTTTGTGGCTCTCTCATAAAAAATTCATTTTGATCTTCGACTCTCAGTCTGGTTAGCGGCTTGCTAAAAACTGAGTCATATTGGGACTTGAGTAGCTCACTCATTTCCTTGCTGTCATCTGTGTAGGACCCATCTTGTTTAAGTAGGGGCCCAATACTGGACGTTGTTCTCGATTTTGATTTGGCATAGGAGAAGAAATACTTTGGGTTTCTTTCGATTTCATTTATGGCTTTTAGTTCTTCCCCGCGATTCCTGACTCCTAAAGGATTCTTTTAGCTTAAGTTCGATGCTTGCTATTTCTCTGACCAGTGTTTTCCCTACGCATTTCAGATATATTGACCTCTTTTAGCCGCTCTTTTATTCTTTTCCGTCGCCTGTAAAGGGAGCGCCTGTCTCTTTCTATTTTACATCTACTCCTCATTTTTCTTAGAGGAATAAGCCTTGTGCATACATCGAGTGCCACCGAGTTAATCTGTTCTAGGCATAAGTTGGG